TGAGCCGGTGAGATTTGAACCGCTGAACTGCTGATCTAGCAGTAGCCTGCAGTGCTGCATTTAACCACTGCGCCACCTCGGCTCTTAGTAAATCCACTAAGACCTGGCTGTTCCGGCAGGCCTGGGGCTGTTGATTAGCATCCAGCCCCATTTTAAGTATGTATGTTGTGGAATTTTAAATAATTGCATTTCTATTTTAATGTTTATATATTCCCTTGTTTGTCCGTAAGCCGCCCAGAGTCCCTAGGGAGTGGGCGGCATACAACTGTCAATAAACTTCCAAACTTCTTTGGCCAACCTCTGCCATTGTCCAAGCCTCCTCCGTGAGGCCCAGAACTGTTTTCCTCGGACTTTTACCAAGCAATGCAACCTACGCCTCCCTCGACAGAAAGTTAGCCAGGGTGTTTGGTGAGGCAGGGGATGGAGCTCAAGCCAATTCTAGGCTGCTGCTTAACGCCCCCTGCTCCCTTGTCCCAGAGGGCGGGCAGCTGCCCTCTTGTAGAGCCATCAGTGGCTCGGACTGCCCCACATTGAGCACAAGGGGGGCTGCCTTCCTCTGGTAGGGAACGTGGACTCCTCAGCCGTGCTCAGGTTCCGAAATGAGGAATGGAGACTTCTCGAACACACAGCCACAGTTTCACTGCATATTGTTCCTGGCAAGGATCTGGATTGAAAATAAGCATCAGCGCAGAATGCATTCCCCTTGAAACCTATTCTTAAGCACTGCACTTCTCCTTCAACCAATGTGGGTTATATTTACATGCGCATGAATGCTCTTAAAAAAAAAAGCACCAAACATTTAAACAAAAACTGTAACAAGCGACAGAAAACAGGTTATTGTACTACCGATTTAGTAAAAGTGCCTATAATTTCCCATTGTGAAGGAGCTGCGTGAGAGTCAAATGAAACCATGAATGACATTAATGAGAGGGGTACGTGTTTCAACCAGCAGGGAATTCTACCCTTGAAACACCAATAAAGAAAACACCTTTTCCTTTCCCACTCCATTGACTAAAGCAGGCTTGACAACCTTGGGAACTTTAAGACGCGTGGACTTCAACTCCCAGGATTCCCTAGCCTGCCGGAGGAATTTGGGGAGTTGCAGACCACACATCTTAAAGTTGCCAAGGTTGAAAGCTATCACTCTAGTGGCAGCCTCCTTGTAGGGCCCTGGAGCAATCCCAGTGCCCCCTGGCACGATGGGCACCAGAGACCGAGCCTTGTGCAACAACAGACTGAGTGGAAAAGGGAGCTTTGTGTGGTTGGAGCCCCTTTGTCTCAGCCAGGGGCCCTTGGGGAAGCCAGAGGAAGGCAGCTGGGAGCGAGTGCTCCTCTCGCTCCCAGATCAACTGCGGGAGCTCAGACGGAGCCTGGCAGGGGTGGAGGTGCCAGGCCTCTGCTCCCCTATTTCTGCACCTTTTCCTTAGGAGCAAAATCGCTCTTTTCCCTTTCGATCTTTCCTCCCCTCCAAGTGAAGTGTAAATGCGCCTCGCTGGAAGGGCCTGGCGGCTTCAGCCGCCTCCAAGGTGCTGCAGGAACCTTTCCGAGTCCAAGGCCAGTTCCTCTCCTTCCTGTTGTTCTCCCTCGCGAAGGCCTTCGGCTCAGCTGGCGGAGACAGAGGGTTACAGCCTCTTCAGGATGTCGCTGCTGGGCTCCTAGCACCAGAGTGCCTTTTCTGCGTCTCAGATAGACTGCACCAGCTCCGACACCGGAGAAAGAGGCTCCTAGGAAGGGAAACCTAGTTATCCCCCCCCCCTCTGCTGTCTTGCCTTGAGGACGGAGAGTCCGTGTCTAACCCTTCAACTTGGAAGACCTCCCCCCCCCACCAAATGCAGCCCTTCCTTGGCTCCTCTGGCCAGCCAGGGCTGCTCCTCCTCCTTGGTCTCTTTGGCCAACGGGGGAGAGGCTGAACAGGATGACCAGCCTCCTCCCTGCTCTCTGAGGAAACCCCAGGTGAGATGACCTGTCCCCGGGAAGAAGAGATGGCGGCTTCTGGAAAACCATTCGGGGCTCAAGGCTTTGCCTGCAAAGGTAAGAGAGCAGCCTCCCTCAAGGTGTCCATTCAGATCTGGCTTTCAAAGATTAGGGATTGCTGGAAGGTTCGAATCGTTTGAAAACCGTCTCAAAAGCCACTTCCTCTCCTTCCCTCCGAGGAAGCCCATATTGTTATCCACAGGCAGGCAGGCAGCCCAGGGGGACGATGGTTGGGTTTACTCTGCAGGAAAGGCTTCACCAGGTCAGTGAATGACCAGCTGCATTCACACACCTGATCTAAAACTAGGTGGGTTTTAAACCTAACCAGTGGTGGGTTTCAAAATTTTNGCCCCTTTAAGGCCTGAAGACTTCAACTCCCAGAATTCCCCAGCCAGCAAACGTGGCCCCTTTAAGGCTTGAGGACTTCAACTCCCAGAATTCCCCAGCCAGCAAAGTTGGGCCCCTTTTGAGACTTGTATTTTTGCATTTTAACTTTCTTTGGAATAAAATAAAAAAACATGTTTAAAAATAGACTTATGGGCTTCAATTCCCAGAATTCCTAGCCAGCAAACGTGGCCCCTTTAAGGCAACGCTGGCGGAGGAATTCTGGGATTTGAAGTCCACAACTCTTAAAGGAGACCCCTGATCTAATCCAACCGCTTCTTTAGTCAAAGAATGATAGAAGCAGATCCCTTCGATCCCCTTCCTTTCCCAAAATAAATCTGGGCTCTCCAAACATGGCAACTTTAAGACTTGTGGACTTCAACTCCCAGAATTCCCCAGCCAACGTGAAGAAATCTGCCTTTTTTGGGGGGATGGGGTATTTTTTTTAATAGATGGTGGGAATACGGTTGACGTAATATATCTTGATTTCAGCCAATGGGAAAAATAATGAGAAACGAAATTAATAAACCGGTTAAAAGGAGGGCTAGAAAGATGGCAGGCAAACTGGGGGATTCTGGGAGTTAAAGTCCGCCCGTCTTAAAGTGGCCAAGGTGGAGAAACACAGACTTAAAAAGGATTGTGGGATTGTAAAGGAATGGCTTTAAAAACGGTTGTCGTGATGGCTCATTCCTATTGCATAGCATTGTTTTGTGCAGTGAAACACACAATCCTGATTTTTCATAGTATTAAAAAAAAATGCATTTTGCCCTGAAGCCCCATCAGGCCATCTTTTGCTGTGGAGGATGGGCCCCGTAGTACAGCAAGCAGTTGTTCAGCCATGAGGCGGATAATGCCAGCTTGGGGCGTCAAGGTCTGTGGCCTTAAAGCGGGCATCTCCGGTTGCATTGGCATGGGGGGTGTGGCTCCTTCCCACCCCTCCCTTTTCGCTCCCCCTCTGGCCGTGAAATTTACCCAGGCGCAGCAGAAATTAATATTTCATTTTAAGAAGTGTTGAAAAATTAATGGACGGGCCTCGTTATCCCCAGCAAAAGAGCCCCGGGCATGGAGCAGAGGATGAATTTTTGAAGGAGATCGGTCAGAAGTTAGTGCAAATGTTTAACCCANCTAACTAACCGTGGAGATTCGGACCCTCGCCACCCTTCAGGCCTTCCGGACGGCCGCGAAGACCTGGCTGTCCCAGCAAGCCTGGGGTTGAGTCCCCCCCCCCCTACTCGAATTTGCTGTGCTTGCTGTGTTTTTTAAATCGTTTGTATCGTCGCCCTGTTTTTGTCTTACTTTTTCTGTATTTGTTCCCCTTCCCGTGGCTTTCGTTCAGCCCCCCCCTGAGTCCCTTCGGGGGGAATAGGGCGGCTTACAAATCGAATAAAATCCAAATCCAAAACTGGCTGAAAATATTGCCAGAGAGATCGGCTCCCTTCCCTTTGAGCGGCAGAGGGAAGGAATGGGAGATGGGGAGGGGGGTTTCTGCCTACTTTTACCTTCATAGAATGGAGTTTCAGCTGCAGCTCCCGGGGGTCTTTCAGCCCCTAAAGAAAAGTGGTCCAGGACTTTTGATAAATTCCCAGCCATCACAGGATGAAAAACCTTCAACCTACGTACAGTTTCAAATGCTGGCTTCTGGGGTGGGGGTGGGCGCGGGTGACCACCTGGACAGCTCCAGCGAATGGCTTAGCCTTGCTCCTCCTCCCTTCGCCCCCTCCCCAAAATGGCATCCCTGCAAAGCTTGGTCCCTTTAAGAGGGGCGGACTTCAACTCCCAGAATTCCCCAGCCAGCCGTGTCTGTTGGTTTCTTTCCCCCGGAGAGCGGAGAGATTGCAGAGAAAGGGATTATAAGAGAGTGTATACATCTCATATTTCAGCCGCCTCTCTGCTTCCTGGGACGAAACCCGGGCCTTGAAACTAGCAAACGGGACAGAGGAGACTCCAGTGCATTCCTCGGATGCACACAAGGACCCATTCGCACAACCACTGGGGTGTTTCGCGACTGCTCAGCATCGCACAATCCTCTCTAGCTTTAGCCTAGCAGGGAAGTTTCAGCCGTGAACGGAGGAGGTGGTTTCTTTTCAAACGGTGGTTTCAGAGCAGGCCAGACCCCAAAGCCACAGCTCAATCCTGGTTTGTTGTTGTAACAAACCACAATTCGAAAGAAACCGCCCTTCTTTGAAGCGGGCAAAGTACGTCTGGCTTGAAGGAATTAATATTTCGAGTTTTCTCCGGCCATCCAAAGGAGGAGGAGCTAGCAATTCTTCCTTGATTGTACGCCCAGATAGTCCTCGATTTACGACCACCGTCGGGACGGAATTCCTGTTGCTAAGGAAGATGGCTGTGAAGCGAGACACCCACTTTTATGACCTTTTTTGCTATTGTTGAGGAAATCGCTGCAGTCGTTAAGTGAATCGTGCTCCTCCCCGTTGACTTTCCGTGTCGGAAGCCAGGTAGGACGGTCGCAAATGGCAATCATGTGACACACACACAGGACGCTGCAATGGCGGTTAATAAATGCCAGTTGCCAGTCCCCAAATTATGATCATGGGAACGCTGTGATAGTCGTAAGTGTGAGGACTGACCATAAGTCACTTTTCCCCCAATGCCGTTGCAATTCTAACCGTTGCGAAATGAATGGTGGTAAGTCGAGGACCGCCCCAGGCAGTCCTCGAACTTACGACCATTCATTTAGTGACCATCTGAATTTGAAAATGTGACATGATCATTTTTCAGCCTCGCGACACCGGCCTGATCAAAATTCGGACGCTTGGCAAGGGACTCATATTTACGACAGGGCCACAGAGTCCCCCTGGGGGGTCCCCTTTTGCGACCTCCTGTCCAGCAAAGTCAAGGGGGGTTCACTTAAGGACCGTGTTACTCCCCAAGTGACTCACTTCACACGCTGAACAGCACGAAAGGTCGCAGAAATGGAGCAAAATTTGCCTTCGCTCAATGGTGGTCGTAAACTCGAGGACTGCCTGTGTTGGGATTCCACTCCCCCTCCCTCCCTCCCTCCCCCCTCCCCACATTTTCTGGGCATTGATCACGAGGCGTGATGAAAATGTAGAGCGTCGTAGATGGAAGATTTGGGGAAATTCCAGGAAGTGCCTTCCCTGATCAGCCGCCACTTCTGGAAACGATCCAGCGGAACAGAAAGTTAATGTTCTTGATGTGAGGTGAACATTTTATCAAACGGACGGAGAACTCAGGATTCTCCACGCCGCTCCCCTCGAGTGACACCGAAGGTGGGTGGACTTCGGCTCCCAGAATTCCCCAGCCAACCAGGCCTTGTTTCCCCCCCCCTCCTATCCCCTAGAACGGAGAGATTTGCAGAGAAAGGGATTTAGAAGAGAGTAAACGGGCCCGTATCAAAAGGCATGCCTTAGTGCCGGGGAATTCTGGGAGTTGAAGTCCACCCGTCACTCTCAACTTCTGAGATCCTCCTGAGAGGACTACGGTTGGGAACTTGGTGCCCAACAGTTTAAGAAGTTGTCTTGTCCCTCTGCGTTGGTCCAGATTCATAGGAAGCCATCATGAAATTCAAGGATGAAACCACCCATAGAGAAGATGACTTGGAACTCAGGTTAGTTCAGATTTAAGCCTTGAATGTGTTAATGACGAACGTCATCTGATACCGACAAGGAGAGGATGTCTCCCCAAGAAATGTTTCCAGAAGCGGAGAGGAGGTCCTCTGGAGCCACATGTGGCTCTTCCGTCCCTCTGCTGTGGCTCCCTGTCGCCGGTCGGCTCCTGAATTGATAGGGCTTTCGGTTAGGTGTGGCTCTGGAGCTGCATGTGGCTCTTCCGTCCCTCTGCTGCGGCTCCCTGTCGCCGGTCGGCTCCTCAGTTGATAGGGCTTTTGGTTAGGTGTGGCTCTGGAGCCGCATGTGGCTCTTCCGTCCCTCTGCTGTGGCTCCCTGTCGCCGGTCGGCTCCTGAATTGATAGGGCTTTCGGTTAGGTGTGGTTCTGGAGCTGCATGTGGCTCTTCCGACCCTCTGCTGCGGCTCCCTGTCACTGGTCGGCTCCTCAATTGATAGGGCTTTTGGTTAGGTGTGGTTCTGGAGCCGCATGTGGCTCTTCCGTCCCTCTGCTGCAGCTCCCTGTCGCCGGTCGGCTCCTGAATTGATAGGGCTTTTGGTTAGGTGTGCCTCTGGAGCCGCATGTGGCTCTTCCATCACTCTGTTGTGGCTCCCTGTCGCCGGTCAGCTCCTCAATTGATAGGGCTTTTGGTTAGGTGTGGCTCTGGAGCCGCATGTGGCTCTTCCGTCCCTCTGCTGTGGCTCCCTGTCGCCAGTCGGCTCCTCAATTGATAGGGCTTTTAGTTAGGTGTGGCTCTGGAGCCGCATGTGGCTCTTCCATCCCTCTGCTGCAGCTCCCTGTCGCCAGTCGGCTCCTCAATTGATAGGGCTTTTGGTTAGGTGTGGCTCTGGAGCCGCATGTGGCTCTTCTGTCCCTTTGCTGCGGCTCCCTGTCACCGATCAGCTGCACAGTGGATAGGGCTTTTGGTTACGACAGGTAGACGAAAAAGGACGCTGCGCTAGGAGGAGACTCTATGGTGGGGGGACTGGACTTCCAGTCGGCTCCGGAATTGAACGGGGAGCTTCCGGGTTAGGACAATTGTGGCTCTTTGATTGTTTAAGGTTGCCGACCCCTGTCCTAGGAAGAG